TCCAGTCTCGCCCGCCCGCACCCCCGCCCGGGCCCGCGTCTCCGCCCTCGCCCGCCCGCGCCCACCCCCGCGCCCGAGGCGAGCCCCTCGTGCCCGCGCGTCATCCCGACGCCAGTACAACGTGAAACGTAATAACGTGTTCCTTTCTAGGGCAGCCCAGCCGAGGGCCCACAGGGTGGGGGCGAGGCCTCTCCTATGTTACGCAGGAGAGACTGCTGGCCCTCCGGCCGGCCGGCCCAGCCTTCCCTGCCGTCGTCCACTTCGAGTGACTTCGCGTTTTTCGGGTTTATTGCCTGGTTGCTGTGGTGTGTGCGGCCCTCTTTGTCCTGTTTAGGTTGACGGCCCGGCAGCTGCGCGGACTCACACAAGATGAGCAGAAGCAGGCACGCCCAAAATAGGGGTCATTAAGAGAGCACGTCCCTCATTTACCGTCACAAACCCGTAAAGTTGAACTTCAGCAAGCACTCACAGCACTTGGCAGGTAGGCATCATCTTGTCTGCAATGCATCCGTGTATTGCGCGGCGGCCTACGCTGGGCTTCGCAGGCGCCGAGCTCCTGTATACTTTGCCAAGTGAATCAGAATAAGAGAGAATCGGACGAAAGTATACTTTTCAGGACGATCCCCGATCACTCAGCGAGCCCCCTTCGAGTCGGTTGGGTGGCCTACGTCCTAGGCGCGCACGGTCGGGTCCATGTGCGCGTCGAGCGCCATGGGCGCTAATCACCAAGGGGCAAATCTCTGTCGACGGTAGTCGATGGAGGCGTAGCGATAACAGAGGTGGCGATAAGGATAAGGTGCTCGGTTGTGTCACCTTAATCACTGTTGAAGCACGTAGAGAGCGGCCTTGGACCGCTCGCGGAGGAATCAGGTTAAATCACGATCGCACGTAACTTGCGGCTTTATTATATTACTATTTTTTTCGGTTTCAATATTTTCTTTCTCGACAAAAGAGATGATTTGTGAACAATCGTATTGTTATTTTCTCTCCTGTCAATCGTACTGCATATCATATAAAGTATGCGCATTTCGGAAAAATACGTGACGCGGACGTAAAATAATTGACTAGAGCGTAACTGGGAATGATGAGTGAATGGCGCAAATGGATGCTCGCTGACTTAGATTTGCGGTCTGCGTCTAACAGAGTATTACATTGTGTTGCGTGCTTTGTCTGACAGATTCAGATCTAGGCTGGTGAACCTCTTAGCCCAGCCAGGAATTGAAAGTCGACTCAACGTTGAATCGACGTCGAAGTCGGGGTTGCGTTTTCGAGTTACGAATTTCGGACCATATAATAGTCAGATCAATGTTGATTCAACGACGTTACGTCGATGCATTTCCGGCTAGTAACCACCCAAGCACCAACTAGTCTTATACCAAATTAAAATACAACTAGCGACGGTGATTGGCAGGCCGGCGTATCTTTTGTACCTTTCGTGCCATGTACCGGTTCAATGTCAAATGACTAGCGATGAAGCCCGAAATCAGGGGGCTACGGGCGAAGGGGTACCTCCTCCCTCTACCAAGGGGTGTCCCATTTTCCCCGTTTGATGCAGTAGTTAAGCAGACCCGCCATAGCCCACTCCACAGGGGGTGAATGCGGGGTTGCGACTTGACACGTCGCTTGAGAGAGTGCGGCAGGACTCCGTTTTACATCCGCTTCCCGCTCAAGATGTCCTGAACCTCGGCCTGGCTGCGTCCCTTGGTTTCGAACACGAGGACGGCGACGAACACCGTGGCCGCCACACAGCATCCCCCAAAGATCCAGAACGTGCCGGGGACACCAACGCCCGACATAAGGGTGGGGAACACCTGAGGACAAGCAGGTGTTGGTGTTAGCGTTTGCCTTGAACCGCTTTGGCTCCGCGCCCTATAAGCGTTTCCAAAAGAGGAAAGGTGAACGTTGAGCCTCACCTTGGTGACGGCAAACGCCATACTCCAGTTGACGGCAGCTGCGGCGGTGGAGGCCGTGGCCTTGACGTCATCGGCGAACAGCTCGCCGGCCATCATCCAGGGGATGGGGCCGAACGCCAAGCTGAAGACGACGACGAAGAGGACGACGCACAGCAAGGGCAGCCAGCCCAAAGAGGACACGTCCGTGCCCGAGTCGCTGAGGTGGAAGTACACTCCCAGGACGATGTGCGCCAGCGCCATGAGCGCGGCCGAGCCAAGCAGCAGCAGGCGGCGGCCCGCGCGCTCCACCAGCACCGCGGCCAGCCCCGTCGCCAGCACCTGCACCACGCCCACGATGATGGTGGCGATCTCGGGCTTGAGCGAGCTGCCGGCCTTCTCGAAGATGGTCACGGCGTAGAACATGACGGCGTTGATGCCGGACACCTGCTGGAACACCATGAGCCCCAGGCAGATGACGAGCGCCCGGATCACCGCCCTGGACGAAAGCAGCTCCCTGGAACGAGAAGAGGTGCTCGCGAATTGCTCCAGGTAGAGACGCCGCTCGCGCCGCCACCACGGAGGCCGAGGCCATCCCCACAGAGGCCGAGGCGACGAAAACGTCAGCCGAGGACAACACCAAGGAGGCCGAGAGCTGAGGTCGAGGCCATCCCTACGCTGGCCGAGGCCACCACCACGGAGGCCGAGGCCACCTCCGCGGAGGCCGAGGCCACCACCACGGCGGACTCACTTGATCGAGGCGTCGTTGTCGGCGGCCGCGTCGATGCCCCGCTGCATCTCGGCCACCTCCCAGTCGATGCCGTCGTAGGTGACGCCGCGCAGTCGACGCAGCGCGCGCTTGGCGGCCTGGGGGTTGTTCTTCTTGAGCAGGAACATGGGGGTCTCGGGCAGCAGCATGACGGTCGCGAACCACAGGATGGGGACGGCGAGACTCACCCCCGCCAGCGCCGTGTAGGACGCGAAGCCGCCCACGATGAAGGTGAGCAGGATGCCTGCAGCAAATGGGTGTGGTGAGGTGTGGTGCTGTGTGTACAGCCAAAGGTTTGCCAGCTGGGAAGACCTACCGATGGTGACTTGCAGCTGGAAGAAGGTGCCGAGGGTGCCGCGGATGGTCGGCTCGGCGATCTCGGCGCAGTACAGGGGTGCGGCCACGGAGGTGGCGCCCGTGGCGAAGCCCGCGATGGCGCGGGCCGCGTACAGCATCGCCGCGTTGCTGGCGAACAGGATGAGCAGCCAGCTGCGGGGGCGACAATTAAGGGCAGAGGTGAGCTGCGGGGGCCCCGGGTCTGCCGTCTCCTCGGCCGTCTCTCTCTATCTATCTCTCTCTCTCAGCCACGCACGCCACCCCGTACCCCGTGCCGTGACGCCTGCCGCCTGCTCCGAGGCCTTGGACGGGCCCTGTCGGGTCACTCGAGGACGCCAGACACAACCCCTCTCCTGGGCCTCGGCGTAATAATTCACCTCGTCCCCCCTCCCCTTTCCACCTCCCTCCCCTCCCCGCAGTTCCCCTTTCTTTCCCTTTGCCTCCCCCGGGACGCTGAGATGGATAAAATCTATGACGCCGCCCTCGTGGGTTCACGCCTCGCCTGGCAAAATGCTGCTGCGTCTGCACTCGTTTACAACGTTTCTTTAAAAATTGTATTTTAGTGGAGGTAACAAAACTACTCGAAACACTAATAGGCCTGTACGCACGAAAAGAAAACCCCCGTCAGAGCGCCGAGCGGCTGGTGGACGCCTTGACCGTTTCGTACCTAGACTGTGCCGCACGACAGGCGTGCGTGCGGGTTTGTCTACCGTCTGCCACCACGGCGCGCGAGCGACACGCACATCTACCGGCTAAGAGGCCCGCTGGGTGTACTTACAGTACACTGTGTAAAACAATAACTCGTTATTTTCATTCCGAACCATTCGATGCACTCGCGATGCACCGACACTCGAAGCCCCGCCCCGGGCCGACGCGTCACACTGCCATAACCCGTTGACTCACGGCGGATGAATTAAGGTTGGGTCACTCGCGCTTCGATAACTCAATGGGGAGGCCTTTCTGGCCGTTCCCTGAATGGGAGCGCCCACTTTCAAGTGTGTTTACTAACCGGGGGCGAAAACGAAGGGGGAAGAGGGGGAGAAATGAGGGGTAGGGGAGAGGAGGAGAGTGAGGGGAGGGAAGGAAGGGGAGGAGGGGAGGGGATGGGGAGGAG